CAGTGTAACATCTTTTTCCATGTCATTCTTGTAGCCTGTCATTTTTAAATCCACTTTCAACACATTCTCAATCATGTCAGGTAATACTTGTTCCTCTTCCATAACATCTTTTAAGCACAGTCTATCTATAGAGGCAGACACTCTTAAAATTAACTTCTGGGTCCATTCTTCAAAAATATCCTTCAATATGTCCAATGTTAAAATATTTTTCTTCATTCTGTATTAGTAAGTCAAGTTTCAGTGTTCTAATTGTAATCTTTAGTTCTTTCTAGTTCCCTCTACTGTCCAATTTTTAAAGTCTTTTTTTTTTTTTTAAGAATTCAAAACAGAAGCATTTTCCCATGGGAAGGATTAATTCCAAAATCTTATTTCAAATTTATCTGGACCCTTAGTCCATTTGTAACTTTCTAAAATCAAAGTTTTAATCACCCTTTTGCTACTTATTTCAGAAAAAAAAATTAAGTTCTTAAACTTGTATTTAAAACTTATTTTATTAAGGATTGAAGGAAACTTACCCAGTGCTATAAACCTGCCAATCTGAAGGTTCCTAATAGCTGAAAAGCAGTTAACAAGCAATTTCCGAAAGTGATTAGAAAAGGAAGTATGCGAACCCAAGGTCCTTTTGAAGGTGCCGACCTTGGGTTGAGCAAGATGACTATTCCCTTCTCTCCCAGAGCTCTAAACTCACCAGAGACCACTGTCTTGCAGTCTTCTCATGAGGAGCAGCTGTTTGGAGCACTTGTGGGCAATCTCAAGCCCTCTCCTTAGCCTGAGAGGAATTACAAACAGCCGGTCTACTCGCTGGCTCTTCATTCCTCAACAGTCATCGGCTTCACTTATTGTGGAGCCATTCAGTTCACCATTTCTTCCCTGGAAATCCTTGCCATTTCTTTTCTTTACTATATTCTTATTTTTTCTTTCTTTTCTAATTTTCTATTTTTTTCTTTTTCTTTTCCTTTTTTAGTTGGTATTACTTTTTATTGTTGTAAATTGTAATATTTAATACAATTATTATCATTCGCATCTTAATAGCTGTAACAATTTTTCATATTTTTCTTTCACTTCAAGCAAGTTGCCAAGATCCTACCAATCTCTCACATTTTCCATTTGATATAAGCATATTAACCCATATCCAGTTCACTGTTATGACAAATTATTCAATTCATCTTTAGTTTTGTGTAACTTTCATGGGGACTGGGGGTCTATACTGGATATCTGTGTCCAAAGAATTTTCCATTTATTTTTCAAATTGTGCATATTTTTAAGGTTCTTCTTATACAATGTGTATGCAATAATATGTTCATGCAATATGATTTATAAGATTTGAAGGTTAAGGAATTAGCCATTCATGCATTAAATTCCAAGTATTGTAATGTCTCAGAATTCATCTACTTTATGAATTTACAGTCATTCAATTAAAGAGACATTGAAATATCAACTTCCAGATAGCTTAGTAAACTGTTGCAGTTGTAAATTTAAACTGATTGGGCTGTACTCTGATAAATGAGATGTCAGTCTTGAATATCATAGCAGGCTGTGAGGTTTGGTAGCAGGAGGCAGTATTTGCAGTGGTTCTTGGTCCTGAGCAGTTGGTTCCAGCTGGTGTTACTGGGTGGAGAGAGGTCAGGACCTCAGGAACTCCATTGCACAGAGCTTGGTTCTGTCTCCTCTGCTGTTTAATATCTATAAGAAGCTGTCAGAGAGTTCATCCTCCAACCCAGGATGAGATATCAGTGTTTTGGTGGTATCTCCACCAAAGAGGGAGGAGGACCTGACAGTTAGGGTCCGGATGGGGAAAAACAGGCTTAGACTGAATCCCAGTAAGATTCCATGATGGTGGATCCAAAAGCCAGTGGTTTCCAGAAATAGACCATCTTTGACTTTTGATGGGGTTGCACTCCCCAAAGGTATATGGCCCACAATCTGGGGGTTCTCCTGCTTGAACAGTGATTACATCTTGTGTGCCAGTTGTGACCGTTCCTGGAACAGGCATCTCTGCTCTCAGTCTTACACCCTTATCAGCTGATGTCTGGGCTATTGCAACTTGCATGTAGCAGCCCGAGGTTCAGCCAAGCAGGAGCCGCCCTTGCAGCCAGCTGGCTTCCAGGTGCAATTCAAGGTGCTGCTTTAAAGCCTTCGTGGTTCTATGAACAGGGTCTGTTTGCCCAGGGAGATCACGCAGAGGCGGCCTGCTGAGGGAATGACATCTCAGTGATGCCCCTGTACCTTTGGAACCACCTATCCCCGGATACCTGGACCACCAACTCCCTATTACATTTTCAAACATGGCTCTTCAGAGAAGCATTTGGGAACATTTGAAGATTCTGCTCTCCCAAACAGTAAAGCACCAGGGTCTTGTTGTCATGCTACTGATTGGTTATATTTTAATTTTTGTATTATTACTTGTAAGCTGCTCATAGACTGGAAATGTGGTGGCTAGAACTAACTCTAGCCCTAGCCCTAGCCCTAGCCCTAGCCCTAACCCTAACCCTATGGCAATGGGGATTCCAGGCTTCTGCTGATTGGTCCAAAGTTCCACCTGCTGAGCTTGTCTGGCCAAGTTGCAAGAGGGGCTGCAGAGCCCTGTCCCCACCCACTTCGAGTCTGCTCCTCTTCCCTCTTGCCACCATGGAGACAATGCTGCTCCCCTAGGCCACCAACCTATCTAACCTCTGCAAGGAAAAACAGCATCCTGTGGGGTTAATTCAAGGTGAGGAAGGAATCCAAATTCACAAGCCAAATGGTAGAGTCACTAACCAGAGCCATGATGAATATTGCCCACCGCTCCTACTTTTCTGAATCATGCCTCTCAAGCTCTTTGAGAGATTTAGCAAGGATCTGCATCAGATGGGGGGGAAAGATCTTTGGGTGCACCTTGGAAACCCCAAACCCCTCAGGCTATAGGATGGCCAGCTCAGAGCAGGGCCCCTCAGCCTCCTGAATAAATGTTCAAAACGCTCAGCCAGCCAGGAAGCCAAAGAGGTGAAAGACCCTCTGTGACCTGCAGTAATTCTTTCCATCCTTGATTCCATGGAGTTGCTGAAATTAACAGGGACTCTCTAGACAAAGCTCTGAGAGGCCTGTTGCTCTCTTCACAGTAAGCTCCGCAATACTGAGGGCTCCCTTAGTGCAGATACATGCTGGGTTGTTACTGCTGTGGACCCCCATCTATCTGTGAGGGCCTACAGAGTCTCCAGTGATCTTCCAGGCAAATGGAGCCCTCAGCAAATGCTGGCACTTCTGAACAGCGCTGCACATAAAGATATTTGGGACAACCAAGAAATCTATCGTCACATTCACTAGAGGTGACCTCCCAGTTCTTAACCTGTTTGCTGTGCTGGCACAACGGGTCATTGTGGGCTTGCTTTCCCCATACTTGCTTCTCATTGGCCCTGCTATTGAAGGTTATTCCCCCATCCTCCCCAATAATTTTTGGTCTTTGCTTTGCTTTTTCAAAAAGGAAACAGAAGCTCCTGTCCTGCCCCTGAGGGTGGAACCTTGTCTGGGCTGGCTCCCGTTTTCAGCTCTTTGCCCTGTTTTCCCTTCCGGGAGTGCCTTTAATTGAAGCAGACCATGCTGAGAACTTGCTTCGCTTCCTAGTGCTCGGCCCCTCCATCCAGTCGACATAAGAATGGTGCTGGAACTCTACCTGGACCTTCTGTCCCAACCCTGCCGGGCTGTCTACATCTTTGCCAAGAAGAACAACATTCCCTTTGAGCTAAAAAATGTGGAGCTCTTCAGAGGTGAGGGGGGAGCACCGCACATACACAAGTGTGGGGAGGGTCCTTTCTCTGCTAGAGAAATGGAGGCTGGGGAGCCTCCTTCAGGGTGACCACTCAGCTCTCTTTCGACAACAGTTGGGTGCTCTTTGCCTTGCTTGTTGGTAGATTCTGTTGGGGCCCTTCAGAAACAGGAGGACTGGCATATGGTACCTGATGGTTGGCTTTCCCAGATGGTGACACTAGAGCAGCCTGAGCTGCAGGGGGCCAAACGGGGGGGGGGCTTTTTTTAGAGCGCTCTTGCATTGGAAGCCTTTGGTTATGCTAGTGCCTTCCTCTTGCCAGATTCTATCCTGGGAACCAAGGTACCTGGACCAAATGCCGAAGGGGGGGCAACACCCCCATCAGGTAAGAAAAGCTCATGCTTTATGTGAGGCACCAATTTCCACTTCTAGGATGGAAGACTGAGGTATGGTCTGTGCGTGTGTGTGTGAGGGGGATGGCACTTTCGGGTTTTTTCCAGAGGAGGTGGAATGAATTTCAGTTGGACACCAGGCAGAATTATGAACTAGGACACCTCCTGGCTCCTCTGCTAAGCTCCCACTTTTTGGGGGGAACATGGTGACTCTTCGGTTTCATACTAACTGTTGAGCACCTGCTCAGGAAGTGTAATGTTGGCAGGAAACTTCACCTGTGAAGTTGCCTTAACGGCGAGGAACCGGGCAGCGTCTTCCTACCAGCAGCTGCTGGAGTAAGACTGCAACGGTTTTCCTCCCCAGATGTCTCCCTTCAGGGCTTCAGGTGCACTTGGCATGTCCCAACAGTGCTGCTGATGACACCCTGATGAAAGGAGGGTAGACATTAAAAAAAAGAAAAGAGGGATGTCAATAAATGCCTGCCCCCAACTTCTCTAGGTTTCCTATTTGCTGTGCAAATACAGCTAGAAAGAGTCCAAAGGGCTTCTTAGGTTGCAGAAAGCGTTTTTGTGTGCCAGAATTGGATGCGGTTCTCCGTAAGATAAGATAACATACCTGGTTCTTGTACTTTGCCTCCGTGGCTTTTCGAAACCCCTTTGGGTGTCTTATTCAGTGCAGCGTTAATGTAACCAATCCCAGTCCAGGGCACTGTGGATCCCTTGTCGCAGGGAGGGTTATAAAAAGGATCTTTATCAAGCTTCCGTTGCTACCTGTTATTTCTTTAGAGATTAGAGACGCACAGAAATAAATGCAGGTTTACAACGTTTGTTATTCATTTTCTGAAGTAAACCCTTCAGTGATTTCCTCATTCCTATCTTACATACGTGCCCACTCAAAGTCAGGCTCGGGTTCCAGAAGGGTTGAGGCGGGACACCCCCACCACACCTGCACATTGTTCTACATGATGGCTTCAGAATACCTATCTACCCTATAATTTCCAACAAGTTTGATCAGATTGACCCCTCTTCTCAGCCCTATTTCTCCACTTGGGTGCCAATGCCTCAACTAGTTCATATGGAATTTTCTCTTATGGGGCCTTCATTCTGGTATTTTCCCACATGCTTACATTCCCAGAACAAACCTTCCTGCTTCATGTCCTGCTCTGTGGGCCATGAAAAGCATTATTCTGTGGGTAGCTGTGAACCCCAACAGCCTGAAATACTGTACTCACATTTGTAACTTAGACATTGCAGGTTCATAGCTACCATGTGATCTCTGTTCATCTGCTTACTTGGGTGGAGAAAAAGTTGCACCAGATCCATTTCTGATCCATAGCAGACTTGCTGGAAGAATCTTTAATTCTGAGATTTTCTGGCAGCATTTATAACTTTCTAGACAATTTCAACTGCAGAATGCAGAGGTCATACAGTTCTCATTCTATAAACCCAAAGAGGCATGGAACACTTAATGTGCAACTTTTTAGCAAGCCATCTTTCTAGCTATAATTCAGAGAAGACATGTAGAAGGAGGGGTTGGCCACCAGATTCCTGCTCTCAACTCCAGACAGAACTAGCAAGGAAAGGAGGTGGCTGGTTTCTCTGCTCTTAGCCCTCTCTCAGGCCTAATTGTGAAATGTGCTGGGTTGACTTCAAGGTTCACAGAGCAAGGTGAGCACGAGGGTGAAGAAAGTTCCTATCTTGAAGGATGAGACTTTCATCTTGGCAGAAGGGTAAGGAGAGCTTTCCCCTAATTTCTCTTTGTCTAAAGTTGTGTTTGTAGGAAATGGTCAGAGGATGCACAGCAGGGAACTAAGGAGCTGGAAGCAACTAGAGGTTTGGGGTCAGGGACATAATAGAGTTACAGCTTTAGATGTTAATTCTGGAAATCTCTCTTCTTGTTTATCCCAAATGACACCAGATAACAAGTTATTCAGTCCTAAGTTTGACTGGACACCGGGGAGGGTGGGAGTCCCTCAGAAATGGAGCGGTACCAGGAGGACCTCTCTGCGGTACCTCATGTTACATGAAATGGGCCACAGAACTTTAGTAGACCAGATGGGCAACTGAAAACCCAAAATGGTTTTGGTTGTCTCAGTTGTTTCACCCTTGACAATCCTGATTTTGAAGTGTTTTGATTAAGGCAGCTACTCTGTTGTGTTTGCTCACCAGCTCCTCTCCTGTAGAAACTAACACCTCTCTTCCTTTTGTGATCCTGTCCTCCTACTTGATTCCTTTGGCTTCCATGAATCCATGGTCAGCACGGCCATCCTTCTGTACCTGAGTCGCAAGTACAACACCCCAGATCACTGGTACCCATCTGACATACAGAAACGAGCAAAGGTGGATGAATACCTGTCATGGCATCAGGCTAGCATTCGATCCAATGCTCCCAAGACAATGTGGATTAAGGTGAGGGATTTCAGGGGGATTCTGTTTGATCTGTAGAGATTTGGGAAGCCTCAGCTTGTTCCAGTCATGCATGAAAATACTAGAAGATTTAAGATCTATCCCCATCAGCTGAAACCTCCAATCTTTCTTCATGGTGCCCAATACTTCACTTTTTCCCCAAACTGCTTTTACAACCACTCTTTTGAGAGACTGCAGCTGCCGTGCATTTCCAGCTAAAGGACTGGTGGGCAGGAGTGCTTTCCAAGCCTTCACTGGGTGGATGCGGAGACAGATCCCCTCCCATCTTTCTGTAAATGAGATGGAGGCAGCTGTCTTCCTTTTAGCCCCACAGAGGGATGCGATGCTATTCAAGGAAAGAAAAGAAAGGATTTTTTTTTAAAAACCCACCATAACAGTTTGATGCAGAGTATGGTTTACCACAAAGGAAAGGTTGATTTTTAAAAGAAAAATAAATATTCTTAGGAAGCTAGTGTTCCTGGGAAAGGAGTGATTTATATTTTATCTCATTCTGAAATTATTTGCTACACACATACTAGGATCCAAAGCAGTGATTAACTATTTTTTGCATCTACATTCCTGAATAAATGTGGCAATGCAAATAGAGTTAATGGAGCCTTTTTGGTAAAACAGAAAAAAACAAACAAAAAGATTAAGAGGGCAACAGTGGAAATTCACAATGCTTTAGATAGCTAAATAGATGACATTTTCCAACATTCTCCACTTCTCCCATATTTATGTTACTACATGCTGCCATATGGCTTACGGTCATGTGTCAGCACCTGCAACCACAGTAGTTTCTCACCCAAAGAAGGGCCCTCAGTAGATCCTTCCTAGGATCCCACTATTTTGAAAAGGGAGGAGGCCAAGGTTGATAATCCATCCATCCATCTTCAGAGGAACACAACAATTTGGGACACTCACTTCCAAAGTGCTCCATCTTTGTGGCCACTGCCAAGATCTTTCTCCTCACTGAGACACTGAGACACTGAGACAACCACCACAGGAATGTCCAAGGAGCAAAGGCTGGATGGCCTTCCAAAGGCCACTACAACTCTAGGTTTACCAAGGCCATGGGGACCCGACACACAGGTTACCCCTTCTTTTTGAATTAGCCTCCTTGGCAATGACATAGCAGTTCAGCCAGCTGCTGTGAGCAAGGCTCCACAGTTCACCTCTGCTCATTTGAAAATCACCTCTGCTCTGGGGCCATCATGCTGGAGCACCTATTGCCCAAGAAGCAAGGCAAGTGTGCCTGTTAAGGGGAGCCAGCTGTCCTAAAGCTCTAGCGGGCGGCTGGCAGAGCTGCTCCACAGGAGCTCCAGAGGTTGGTGAATTTTGGTGTTCAGGGAAGAGGCATCCAGGTGGCTGTGCAAATGGTCTCTGCTACAGCTGCATCAGAGCTATAATGACTCTTTCGATGCTCTTTCAAACGCTGTCCAGTCTGGTTTCCATCATTGTGTCTTGGGAGAACAAATTCCATAGTTCATATGCAAATTGAAAAATCACCTCCTTTCATCTGTCCTGAGTCTCCCCTTATTCAGCTTGATGGGTTACTTTTGCTACTGTTAAGGCAAAAAACACCAGATGTACAGCTGCCCATGAAGGCAATTTATTTACTCAAGGGCAAGTAAGAACAGAGTTTCTCTCTTCTTTTTCTTACTTAAAATACCACAGAGTCCAAAGGTAATTTAGACACAGTTCTTGTATAGACAGACATAAGTGAGTTGCAGCCACAGAAGGAGTGACCATGTTTACTTTCCAAACCCAAAGCAAAAGCAGCAAGGGAGGAGCACGTTTCTGGCACAGAAAACAAAGCCGCTGCAGAGGATCAGAAGCCTTCTTCCTCAGTTCAGACTGAGCACGAGGAGCACGTTTCTGGCACAGAAAACAAAGCCGCTGCAGAGGATCAGAAGCCTTCTTCCTCAGTTCAGACTGAGCACGAGGAGCACGTTTCTGGCACAGAAAACAAAGCCGCTGCAGAGGATCAGAAGCCTTCTTCCTTCAGTTCGTAGGT